TTTTCCCGTGGCAAGTAGGTACGATATTCGTATTCAGGGGATCAAACTACCCCTAAAACGAGTTTTTCGCCAAACCTGAGGTCATGAACTAATTGAGAAAAAGCGGAGCAGTGATGGGATTACCACTCCTCAAACTCCACTTTTTTGGGTTGACCAATCATGGACGACGGGGGAGAGGGGAAGAAGGGGTTGTATTAGGAAATAATGCCTTGCAGATCTTTGGATGATGCAGACGGGCAAGCCAGACACAATTTTTGTCTATTATGAAAGTGTTTAAAAGGTTTATTCTACCCAAGTGCCAGCCTTTTGTAATGGATTGGTGGATCGGTGAGTAAGTGACTGCCCAAATTTTCGAGGTTAGGTCAAAATTTCAGAATTCGCTAGAAGTTTGCTCAAAGGGAGAGTCTGGACTCCCTGATTACGAATATCATACTTGTTCGAAGCAAAAATGCCTGGCGCCTGCGCTACAAGCGCCCAAAGTAGTGAGGAGCGATGCCGCCCAAGTTCGTTATTAATTGCCCTTAAATTCTTTGTACTGTTAACTATACGCAAGCATGTTGGACTAGCGATGTTAGGAATCTTCCTAGCTATCTTACTGCAAACGGCAAAAGAACAAACTCGCCAGGGAGTCGATCCCCTGACCTCTTTTTCGTGAGCCTCGACCACAGCCCCTGCGCTTTTCTGCTTCATAATTCCTTTCAGAGAAGAGTTCAGCAGATAAGGAACACATATTTGAGCTCAGCGTCCCAAGGCGCGTATACACATACCAGTTGGCGCCGCACGCATTGCGCGCGCAACACAGATCTGTGGCGAATTTTGATGGTGCGACGAAAAATTTCAAATTTGGCTTGATACAATACGAATATCTGAATTCTCCGCTAAATTCTATGCGCTCTTTCTTCGTCAACCATTATCCTATTTTTCTCGGTCCTCGGCCCGGACAATAAATCTCGTGGCGAACTCCGTCTACTTCGGTGCGTGCCCTGCCGACCAATAGCATTTGGCTCCCTTCTTTTCGCCGACCTCTACCCCCTTTTTCACCGGTCTCTGGGACCTCTTGGAACCAAATTACGACACTTTTGGCAAACTCCGCCCACTTAGGTGCGTGCTCTACCCACTAATAGCATTTGACCTGACTTTCCTTCGCCGACCTCTACTCCCTTTTTCCCAGCCTCCTGGACTTCTTGGGGCCGAGTTATGAATTTTCGTCGCAAACTCCGCCCACTTTGGTCATGTCCCTCCCACCATTGACAGCTGGCCTCCACTCCTCCACCCACCTCCATCCACCTTTTCCGCGGCCTCAGGGACTTCTTGGAGCCAAGTCATGAATTTTCGTCGCAAACTCCGCCCACTTTGGCCAAGCCCCGCCTACCACTGGCCTTTGACCTCCACTTTCCCACCCAACTATATCTTCTTTTTTCCCCACTCTCCGGGACCTTCTGGAACAGAGTTCTGAATTTTCGTCGCAAACTTTTTAATCTGCCACTTTGGTCAAGCTCGAGCTGATAATAATTACTCCACTGTAGCCCTGGTATCCTCCACGGGGGCGCCAGACTCCTAATCCCACCTTTTCCGGCCCTGTCGTTCCTTCGAGCCTCTCCGGAGCTTCATCGGAGCCCGAGTTAAAAATTTTCTCTGGCGCTCTCGCCACAACTTCCACTTTGGGCTCTCGGCCTCCCGCCCCCTTATGGCTCAAGCTCCGCCCCGATAATAATTAAGCTGCTCGTGCACCCCGCCCCCCCCCCCCCCCCCCGCCCGCCTCTATCCACCTTTTCCCCAGCCTCCGGAGCTTCATGGAGCCGAGTTATAAATTTTCGTCGCAAACTCCGCCCACTTTGGTCAGGCCCCGCCCACCAATGACAATTAACCTCCACTCCTCCACCCACCTCTATCCACCTTTTCCCCAGCCTCCGGAGCTTCATGGAGCCGAGTTATAAATTTTCGTCGCAAACTCCGCCCACTTTGGTCAAGCCCCGCCCACCATTGATAGCTGGCCTCCACTCCTCCATACACCTCTATCCACCTTTTTCCGGCTCTTTAGGACTTCCCCGACCCGAATTATGAGGGCTTGTAGAAAATGCTGTACACTTCAGAGCGCGCCCCGCCCATTCTGGGCAGGCCTCCGCCCACGTCATGTATGCGGGAAACACCTTAGACATTGCTCCCTTACACCAAATTGTTTTCTGCTCTGTAGGCTTTCTCCCAACCGAGTTATGAAATTTTTCATAAAGCACTGCTTTTTTAGAGAACGCCCCGCCCACCGGGGGTGGGTCTCCCTAATTCGATGTTACTTACCAATGCACACCTTAGCCCACTTTTTGGCCCAGTTTCGAGGTCGTTTTTTCACTGAAATCGAAATCTTGGTCTTTGGTACAATTCATTTCGACGCACGCCACGCCCTCTGTGGGCGGGGCTCCGCTTAGCTGATGTGTGTTTTGTATTACGTGAGACCCTGCCCACCCATCCCACACTTGACCCGGTCCCTCCAGGCGGATCCCGAGGAGCTAGGGAATTTCGTGACAGACATACAGAACGACAGACAGAGGGACAGAACGACAGACAGAACGACAGACGAAGCGCTTTATAGTATGTAAGAATTGCATCTAGTTCGAATTGGCCTAGTTGACCAAATGACCTTTCCTGGTCAGCCAAGCACAGATTCATGCACTCGTCTTAGCACCGTTTCAGTTAAAGTCCTATTTACATCACTCTATTCGTTTGTCTGTCCTGGAAGTTAGGGTCACTCGAAAAATGATCTTTTGAGGCTGGGTCAAGGCCAGAATAGGTGGATCCAGGGCCAGGATGTGCGCAGTTAACATGCGCTGAGCTGAGCCCATTCATGGTGGGTGGAACTGTGGTGTTGTGAAGGAAGTTTTTTATTCCGGCTCCTGAACGTCGAGATGGCCCGAAAAGGGCGGTTCGGTGAATGAGATGAGAGAGCCCTCTTTGAGTGCCGCAGGATCACATTGGTGTGAAGCTTGAACACGAATTCGAATATATTGGTGCGATGTGAGAAAAAGGAAAACGAGTCGGGGTAGGGCTTTTCGGATTCGTAATCCGCTCTGCTGAGACAATGAGGGACTAAGCCCGAAGAGGTGATGTGACGGAGCACGACCTATGAGAGATCGCCAACCCGAAAAACTGAAGAAGGCAGCTCGTCGGCTTTTTGATAAGGCTCTAGCGTTTTTTTTTCGGGTAATTTCCGTGCATGAAAATGTAATACCTATGAGTTACCTCAAGGTGTTCATCCTACAGATCGAAGGGGATCGTGCACACGACCTCTGTCTTAGTTGCGCCTTCAGAGGGCTCTTTACAACAAAAACTTCTCATGGAACTATACTACAGTCCAGGCAGATATAGTAGAGATGAACAGTGTTATGAAGCTTGTCGAGCACACGTACAATAAGCGGAGCAACAACACTTGCAGGGCATGCCCTGAGCTAAGAGGTGCGTGCTACAAAATTTGACAACTCCCTTCTAGGACATCGAAGAAAATCGATGGAGACCCTCAAAGGGAAAGAAATCAAAACGGTCAGGCGTGCATAGAAGTTGGCTAGGCCAAAACAAACAACAGCATTTTTTCAGGCTTGCAAAAAAATCGTACCGATCTAACTGACTGTTGGGTCACCAGATTGAGAGCAACCAATTACTTTCGGTCCTCACAGGTCTGAAAATGTCAGTGCTTCACTTCTCAAAGGATTATTATCTTACAAAACAATTGTAAGTGCCGGAATTGTGCAGAACATAAAAAATTATGATAAGGTCGAACTACGAAGAAAAGGAGGTGTACCTAGTTAAGAGGCAGGCGGGCCTTCAAAGGGTGCGGAACTGTGCACGTTCTCACGAAGAAGATAACCCATAGGCCCATCAAGCAGGATGAATAACGGTCGAGGAAATACTCGACAGGAAGGTCGTATTTGATCCGATGGGAATTGGAGGGGGTCGTAAGCGCAAGGTTAAACAACGCCACTGTGCAGGACACACTATGCTGCTGCCATTCACTGTCATCACTAATGTCATAAGTTCTAATTAGAATAAGCAACTGATATCTTAAAACTGACTGGAATGAAAGCTCAAATGGGATATCTACTCTGAATTGGTGTAGGCGCTTTAAGATAGTGGAGCAGGATATCAGTAGAAGGTTCAAAACGGGAAGATTCGTAGCCCTCCTGACATAGTCACATATTGCATCGCGTCATTTATCGGAAGAGGGTTGGAAATGAACCGACGTAAATGAAGGAATGATCGGACTAGACTATAACTATAAGAGTCACTCTACTCAACTGAGACTAGAGACCATTTGGTCTGCACAAGCAAATTGTTTTGTGAAGGGAACACCTTTCAAATGATTCTGAGTGGTCTCTGCACGGCGCATACCAAAACGTAACAGATTTGCGCCCAGTATATCATTTCTTATTCACTCCATCGAGGTGATATGCCAGAAGCATTTTGAGGCGTTCTCGAAGAAGTTCCTTGTTACGGTGAGGGAGAAGTAGAGTTTTCTAGTGGCTTCGAAAATTTCCTTGACATTTCCTCGACGCAGATTTCTCGCGAACTAGGAAATATGCTAACAACGAGCACCATCTGAAAGCGCCAATCTTCTACTTTACAATGCTTCCTCCGATTTTAAAAGATTGCCAATGAAGACAGCTACTGTCTTCCAAAGAGTGGGAACTCGCATGTAAATTTCAATTTCCTCGACAATTTCCTCGACGTCTCCCACTCTCGAGAATAGGCGTGCTTAGAAAAACGCTCAGCACAATTTAGAAACTAGAAGTCTTGTGCATTCAAGAATCTGCCTTTCTTTTTTGAAATACTTCTAATTGCGGAAAGTTATAGTCCTTCAAAAAGGGGGTAGATTTGGCGATTTTCCCAACTGACGCGCTCCAATCGAAAGGCGCGCGCGACGTTAGGGCGGACAGTAGTAGCGATATGATGGAGCGCGAGACTGCTCAACTGCCTGATTTCCTTCCCTTTTTGCTCCCGTTCTTTTCTAACAGAGGTCTAATTCCTGTTTTTCCTCTGCTTTCTCGTCTACCACAGGTTAGTCGTCTTCAGGTTGTGATACAGAAGATATTTTTGTATCTGACCGTTCAATTTATTTTTGATTTTGACCGTCCGATTTCCTTTGGGAGCTGTTTCTTCTGTGCCATACAGGTTGTTATGGTGGAACACGTTTATTGGTCAACGTTTCGACAATTCGTCGTCTTCAGGACCTGAAACTGGTTCGAAGTCCTAGCTCTGTAGCTCACCCGGTAAAGCGCCTAATCTTACTGAGTTCCCGGAAAAGCGAAACAGTACAAAATAAACGATCCCAGCGAACGAACTAACCTGTGGCGAGTCCACCAGTCTTTGCAGCCTCCTCTTCTTGTTAGTGAGCAAATAAAATGAGACACCATGGACAGTAAGCGTCCTACGTGTCGTATGTGGTGATCTCACAGTCCACATAAAGGAATGAAAGGCAAGAATTCATTGGTAATGGCCATGCATTCATTCGGTTGTTCAGTCTTGGATTTTTCACGCGGATATAAAACGCCTCTAACATTTTTCTAGCACCGATGTCGTTTTCGTAGGCTAGAATTTTGCATTTGATTTCAAAATCGTTACCCTGATGTCCCTCTACTCGGTGCTTGCCAAGTGGAGTAAGCAGATTAAGTAAATTTAGTAAGTAAGTGAGCAGGAAAAAGGCGCGGAAATGAAACGTCTACTACTAAAGTTTTGTTATGAAACCGGTTGTACGGAGGACAAGAAGGGGTCGTATCAGAGCCAACGGTAGAGGGGGAGGGGGTCGTAAAGATGCGGTTCGTTTCCTCGACACGATTTTCACCCTGATCGGCGGACAGGTAGATGCGATTTGACCTGAATAATTCCGCGCGGGTGACTCAATGCGTCAGTGTTCTTGGCCTCCCGGGTAACTTTGGCGACAGATGTCTTATTTAGAAGATATGGAAGGCTTGCCCAGACTTTACCCAAGGAGTTGACTTCGACACCATGTGCACGTGAGCGCCATCCCTTTCCACTACACCATCTGACTTTTGTTTTTATCATCGGACATTTCAAACTAATTCAAAAGCAAATGCTTCTCAATGAAATCCTTCTTATGATGGATACGTCGTTGTGTAGGTGTATAAACGTCAGGGATGCGCCAAGCGCATACATTCTTCCAAAATTAGGGGATACGTTGCTACAGAACAATTTTGAATTATACATGAAGTTTGGAGAACGTTGCCAGCTCAGGCCAGCCTCATCCATAGGCACTGCTGCTCCGTTAAAGGCGAGATTCAGATCGAAGGTACTGCGTTTGCATGACGGTGGAGATGTGAAGCGCAAGGCCAGCAGCGGAAAAACGGGAAGAAACCGTCGACTAGGCTGAAAATGAAGCCTTCTATACAGTAGCAGAGCGAAATAGCCCTGATTCTCTGGGTGGGCTCAGTGAGGGGGGGGGGGCAATGCTGCATCCTATGCTCTTGACGCCTCGGCCTTGTCAAATCATCCCGAAAGTTGTGTCTCTGCTTTCCGCTTTCCGTACCGGTACACTTCTGTGGGAAAAGGCCTAATTTTGACCCAGCCCAGCCCTTGCCTTTGAACTCAAGGAATCGGCTGTTTTTAGGTACATGTTCGGCTACAGGTTTCATGCGACGTGCTGAGTGTCGATTCGATATATGAATGGCTCATAAAGCGGAAGTTCGAAAGAAGTTCGTCAACTATTGCCCAAAATAATTCAGGCAAATTAGAAGAGGAAGTGGGTGCCAAGAAGCCCAGCGAGGCTACCTACACGAAGCGAATTGCCCTGCAAGCGTCCCTCGAACCAAGTCAAAAATGGCTTAACACCGCAAGTGGCCATCGAATATAGCTCGAGCGCTCTCACTGCGTAATGCGTGCTAATTTATACTAACACTCCTATCACTCGAAATGGCAGATTTGTTAACACATTGCGTACCGCGTGCGTGCGCCACCATGTGGTGCACGATTACGCACGAAAGAGCATAAATTTAGTTGATTTGTTTGGAAAATTTTCAATGTTTCCAAACTGGTTGCACTCATTTTCAGAGCCGGGAAACCATACGTGTAGTCACTGACATAATTGTTGATAGATTAATGATGTTTCATTTTTGACAAGTATAAGAAAGATGCGAAGGTGCTCATACAACGGCGGTCCGCAATGTGTTAGACTAACTCTAAATTAGCTTATCGTTAGTGCGAAAGGTAGCAGCTCAAAAATCATAAAAAAAGATAAGACATTTTGAGCTCGAACTCGTCAGCGCTGACAGTGTCGAAATATCCGGCAAGAAATTCCTTTCTTCGGTTGAAATGTTCAGAATACGACATGATCAATGCACTTGCTAGACAAAAAAGCGTCTCGTTGTCTAGCCATGAGCTCTTGGACTGGTTGACCCAACGAATTTCATCTCCTCTAAAAAGGACACTTATACGCAGCACTCATTAAGAAGTAATTCCAGCTTGAAGTCTATGAGACATTGTGAATCAATTGCGAATCTCCAGACATCAGGGATATCATAAACACTGTAGTGGGGGGGGGGGGTTGTACCGAGTCCCACGGGACCATTCAAGATCTGCACAGGGGATTGTCGTGGTAGGAATTGGGCGTGTCGCAGTGCAAGCGAAGTGTTTAATTTTTCGACGTTCAACAATTCAGGTGCAAATTCCAGAAGAGAGGAGCAAAACGAGGAAGCTTCGAACTTGCTACTTCTTTGTCATATTCAGCCAATTTCCTCCTCTCACCGTTCAACGGCTGAGTGGGTGGAGAAAATGTCGAAGTGTGGGTGGAGGAAAATGTCGAAGTTGGGGTGGAAGTTGGTGTGTGTCGACTGATTCCAGAATCAGGATGAAGTATAGAAACAGATATTACAGTGATAGTGTGTAGTGTCGGTGACCGGCGTGTGAGGGGGGGGGGGTGCCAGGGTTGCTTCAGGGATCCTTACAGTGTGTGTATGTGGTGATGGGGAGCGCGCAGAGATCCTCTTTAGGCCGGTGTCAAACTTCGCGAATCGAGCGATCGGCTAGCTTTAGGCGATTTGCTGGCCGCCAGGCGCTGGCGAATTGCTCGACTCGCAAAGTCTGACAAACGCCTCCAGGGAAGTTGGCATAAGAAATTTTTGAAATCGGTGTAACATACGGCTCACCCTGGTACCAGCGCTTCTCTAGGGCTTTCAAGGAAAAGCCTACAAAGGCTTTCAACGTAATCCCGGAGTACTCATCCATGGCAGAAAAAGGCTAGTTACGATACAGTGAAAGAGAGTATCTCTCAGCCAAAGAAGCACTTGGGACGCCATGAGGAGATGCGACCAAGATGAAAAGAACACCGGTGGCGCTTTCGTACGAATGCTGCGCTTATCCGGTCCTGACCCCGGCATGTTATTGTGTAGGGCATTTGAGCGCTGAAATAAGCTGAGGTTCTGAATGGTCTACTGTGAGTGCACGAATTAGATCGCATCCACTTTGACTTCTCCGCTAAACAGCTCCTGTGACTTTCCTCTAAGTGCTTATCCATGTCTACGGGGATGCTGTTGTGTAGGCGGAACGATCCTGAGACCACAAAAAATTCTAGCTGTGGGAGCCTAATTTTTTCTGCGAACAGTTGCTACAATTCTTCGAGCAAAGCGTCGCATGTCTGCGGAGGGGCCTGACCAAGAGGGTAGCATCCATCTTTGTTCTGAGGTGCCGAGTTGCTGCTGTTCCAACAAATTTGATCTACATCCAAAAACGACATTTATTTGGAAATAACTTTATGTATTCTAAAATAGTCCCTGAATAACTCGCTTGATTCGAATCTGTCTGGCTTCACCGTCACGCATATTGTGGCTAAAAAACAAGTCGGTCGTTGATCGCCGGAGACCGAACGATGATGACGTCATTGAGAAATGAACTGCGACGATGTAATAGTATGTCAGAAGCAATTATGATAATGGATTATTATTCTAACCATCTAACCAAAGATGGACTCATAATCTTTAAGGTCATAT